GTCAACATTGAGGTGTTTTATCCATCACTCGTTTATTGTGTCCCTCAGACGATGTTTGGGCCTTAGCATTCTATACGTGGACTTAATGGATAGCTTATGCAAGTTGATTCACTGCGGGGAGGGGCCGGCTTGTCCATGTGGGAGCCTCCATCTCCACTCCAACGGATCAAGTGGCAGCTCCCGGATGTTCTTTTCTGGTTGGAAGGCTACCCATCTGCTCCCCTCGTCCAGAACTCTGACCCTATATATTTCTGGTTTGTCCCTCCATTCAAAGGGGTCCCTGCTGCCTTGGAGAGCACCTCCTCTGCCGACCGTATAATACTCGATCAGGGCTTTTTGCGGGTCTGTCATGTGCACCCAGCCGACCTGCCCTGGGCATCGTGTAAGAGCCACCCAGTCCCCCTCCCTCAAGGTGGGGCCTTGTTTTTGGACCTGGTACGAGGCCAGGGGGAGGATTTCAATTATTTCCTTAGTGTTGCACATAACTGATCTGTTTCCTTCCAGTCCCACCTCTCCCTGTCCCATAGGTCTCCTACCCGAAGCACTCCCCGTTTCACCCAACTTATCCATGGGGGGCAGAACTGGTCATGATATGACCATGCGAGTCTGTCAGCCACCTATGGTTGAAAAGCGGTTGGCGGAAAACTTCCTCCCATTGGTCCAGATACGCCTATCCAGGAGTGGAAGTTTGCGCCAGTGTGACATCCAACCTCACGCCCAGCGCAACTTCCTGTTTTCGGAGTGGGGGGGGGGGGGCCCGAAGTGCGTAGTAGGGGTGTGCCAAGGATTTTAGGAAAGTGGGGGTGGAGTCCTGGGTCGGAACTGAGATCTCCGGTGCCAAGTTCCAAGGGCAGAAATGCAAGTGGTTCTCTGTGGGGCTAGGTCTTGGGTATGGCCCCTCTCAGGGTTGGGCGGCTAATTTCATCGACCTTGTCGTCTGGGGCGGGTTCGCACTCGGTGCACGGATGGGACACAGTGGGTACCTCGTCGTTCGAACACCTGTTGCTGGCGAGTCTCACAGATCTCCAAATCCGACGTGGATGGCCTCGGCCGGAGACTGTGTTCTTGGTGCTCAGCTTCGGAGAGGGTCCGTGGAACGAATCCTGCAGCTCGGTAAGTGTTGTACTTTTGGCACTCAGAGCACGGCCTCCAGGGCCAGTAGGTGGCTATGGATTCCCAAGGCACAACCGTAAGGTGGTGGTAAGGGAGAAGGAGATAGAAGGGAGGGAAGTTAGTCTCGATGGCGATGAATCTCGGGGTGTTGTAGTAATCGGGGATTCGAGAATTTCGCCCAATGGCCCGGTGAAAATCCCACGCACATGTGACGCGCAACCTCACGCCCTGTGTTGTCTTTCGTTCGGAGTGTTAGGCATGCGGAAAGAGGCCCCGAAAAACAGCAAGATGGGGTGTGCCAAGGATTTTTGGAAATTGAGTGTGGGGACACAGAAGGAGCTGAAATCCCCCGTGTTGGCCCGATGAATCAAGTCGATTGCTTTCGCGCATCGCGGAAAGCGCGCGCGGGCATGGCGCGAAAAGAGAAAACTCCAAATTCAATCCAAAAAGTATTGTCGGGCTTCCCACCGGGCTACAGCCCGTCGTTTAGAGCGGAAAGGCTTTGGCACGCTTCGCGTGTCCCGTTTTCGTATCAAGTCTCGTCGTCGTTCGTCAGTCAGTTCCAAGTCTGACGTGGATGGTCTCAGTCGCGTGGTTCTTTCTTTGTGCTCATCTTCACTCCGCACACGGTAGTGGAAACCCCTGGATTCATAGCGCTCAAAACGCTGGCATTCGGTGCATAGAGTGCGCGGCCAGTGGGGTTCTATTGTCGTCCACGAGATCACGATCAACTCGTTAAATGGCAACAATATCGAGTAAGGTGGGAAGTGCGTATCGATAATGACAAATCCAGCCTCTACGAACCCTGAACAGTGGTTGGCCGGAGGGAAGTAGTATCGCCCGCCAATCTGTGCGACAACTTCTCGTACGTCCCACTCGCATACACGTGTCCTTTCCTCGTTGTAGGGAAAAGGCCGTGTTGAGGCGGGAGGTGCAGGAGGTTGGCGCCCGATCAAAGGGTGTTTGTCAGTCCACATGTCAATCAATTGCAAAAACCTCGAGACGTCCTCATCAAAAGAAAAGAAAACACTCGCGCAACTCACAATCAATCCCTTTCGACATCRGCTTGATCRTGCAYATAACCRAGAGACCGATCCGCAGCTCAGGTTTAGTGAGCCAACGCGACGTTGATCSCAGRCGCCTTGTTTCTCCAGRCCGCCCCGTTGATCGGTGGCAGATGTCGTGCAGCATAAGGCAGATGGCATGCGCAGTGCATTCAGAACTACAGATCTAAACACTCTTGCATTCTCGGACAAAATCCCGACGACCATCGTYTAATCAACRCAAAAGAAAGTCACTCATTTCCATACATACATTCACTGTGGAAGGTGCGAAAATGAGACATGCATATGAAAAGACGGGTTGCTTGAACAGTACGCACGCATCCACCGTTCACAAGACAAAAGGAWCAATYCCTCGTCATCTGGGGATTACCCAGGAAACTAATGGAAGAGTTTCGGAAGAAGTTCTTTCACGYTGAAGAGMACACAGATTCATTCAAAGGAGAGACAGACATCGAGACACATCATYATTCAAGGATAGAGGAGAGAGAGGRAGGTGAGGGAAGAGAGTTGAGATAGAAGATGGYACAATCCAAAAGATGGAAGTTCGGCGTTGYCGCCGTGCACTCACTCYAGAGATAAGGGTCCGCAACAACAAAGGCGCATTCGYCGTTAATTCCAATATGGCCCCAGGCCAATCACTCACTCCACTCCAATCATCGATCCTCATACCCGCACTGACGATCCCGAYCGTCGCGTGCTAACTTCCACCRCTGAGATCGTCACCCCGCTGTCGTAGACTCGACACGGCTCGCCCAGATCCCACAGTCCGTCGTKGCGATCAAGYGYGCAACCGGCCAGCCTATCGTCARCCCGACAKGACTTTTCGACTCGCATCAAAACACTCTGCCTAGCCACTGCTTTCCGGAAGYTGGCTCAGGAGTCGAGAACGTAAKRGAGCTTTGCGGACGCGCTTGCGGGTTTTATAGTTGCGACAARGGAGATAGAAGGRGGAGAAGGCGAYGGGAAAGYTGGGGTGTAAGAGGGGAAGCAGGAGGAGAAGACTTTGAGAGGATTGCTCTGTGAATGCCATGTTGATCCCTCGGAACTCAAGGTTCAACCAATCAGATTYGTCRCGCAATAGGAAAGTCCTATTGATCGGCGTACCTGATTGGCGAGCGGGAGTTATCGACGGATCAACCGGGCRTCGTGCGTTGGACTCAGAGGGTGAGGAGAGAAAAGGCGCKAGAAGTAGSGCWARACGGGTCCAAGATTCAGATGATCAAGAAAGGGAATTGGRCRCGCAAAAAGYGAAGCGGGGGARAGAGAGAGRGAGGGAAAAACAGTTACGAGGAGAGAGAAAGAGGAGGGAGAAMGGGGAGGGAGYGATGCGGGGGTCAGAGAGGAGAAAGCTTTTGCATGCGMGGCGCCGTCAACAAAAAGAAAGAAAAAGGCACCAAAACAGTTACAGCTTGCCTCTGTCATAATTCAAAAATTGAAATCACCATATSCGCGCGCRAAAAAGSGACGCGGGAAAAGAAGATCCTACGCCTATTYGTATTCGTGCAAAATTCCGAGAGTTTTCTCCAAYGCGACCRAGAACATTCRCACACAAAAAGGAGGCGTCGAAGTTCCGCTTATCCCGGAATTCCCAACTGTCGGACCCAATTCCCAGTGCGCTCGCTAAGGCGCACGCAATTTYCTATGAATTTYCCGAATTGCAAGAAAAAGGAAAAGCAGAACCCGAGAATCGAAAAAGGCTTCTGAAAGATGGGGGCCAAAAATGCGGCATCCGAAATCAAGAAAACGAAACGGGGCTTTTATGGGGTCGGTATGGTACAAGCAAAAGAAGGGTACGAAAGATAGCACGGGTTCGGGAAGTGGTTCGTCACATATGTGACGCGCAGGGGGTTCCAAAATTATGCGATCTCCTGATTGCATGTCATGGCGGAGAAGGAGAGAGAGAGAGAGAGAGAACAGAGTGATGCATGAGGAACCAAGCGTATCAACAAACGATCCAGCCAGAGTCCATGTTGACGCCAGTTTCAATTGCAATCTTCTGTCTGTTGCTGGAATCCTCGATGGTCATCCAGGTGATGCCATCATCGTCCGCTGGTTCTCCGTGTGCTCTGCACCCCAGCTGGTTGCTGCCTGTCGAATCAGAGTGTAAGTTGACGTCATCGTCGATGGCGTGATCTTTGCGAATGCTTACTGATTCGTGTCGTTTTCCCCCGCTGATTGGATGAAGA